GTCAGGAGGAATGCTCTCACTGTAACATTGGGAAGGGAAGAAAACTGGATTACACAGATCGGGTCCTACGTTTCTAAGAATTGGACCTTTAAATCATTCAACAGTGGAGCCTCTGCAACGGAGAAGAACTTATTCTATTTTAGGAAGAACTTAAATTTTCAGGATGAAATTAGAATTATTCATTTTCGAGACGGTTTGATTCGACGTACGTTCTAGGACGAAACTGTCAGGCGAATCAGGAAAAGGGGGTAATTAAAGATGTCGGCACAAATCATAATTTGTACGAAACTATGCATAATACATTTTATTCTAAAAAACACAAGTCTGTTCTTGAAGCATCCGAGTCACGGTAGATGTGCCGGGCAGAATTGGCGAGTGCGCCCACGACTCTGGCGAGACTCCGCAGCCCCAAATTTATGCTTCGGACTTCGCCATATGTTATACATACATGTGCTTCATTCTGGCTGCCAACGTAGTCCACAGTAGGGAGCAAGGCTGAGCAGCTCCAGTGATGCTGGAGCCTTCGCCAGCCGCGCCTGCAGCGGGCCTTTTGCTCCCAGCGAGCTTTAAAAGTAGCAGCTCAGCGCTCACTACGTTGTCGCTGCATATATAACAGCCACTTAATTACGGCTACATGCAAAATTTGCTGCAAATGGAATAAAACTTCCATGTATCATTACTGCCTAGGGCTATTACTGCCTAAGGCTTATTAACTACTTCGCAAAACTCATTTATTCAATCTAAATTATATTCAGCTTTAATAAATATCTAAATCAAGAGTTCGTTATCAACTATTCAACATTAAGATAGCTAGTGGCAGCAGACAAATATTTAGTTAACAGAGATTGTTAGAACTAAGTGTCAAAACTTCAGCCGCATTTGTACAATAATGAAAAGCAATCCATCTACGATTTAACGCTGGCATTAGTGGCATACATCATTGACATTCGACAAGCAGAGCTTTTGATTATCAAATTTATGCTGACATCACCCATCAAAATGACATCCCCCTCTATTTAATTAGGCATACTTACGTTTTTCGTGCGTTATGACTTGCTGCGACGATACGAAGATTATATTTCATCGCAGCTATATTTCTTTTCTTTTTGTGTGTGGCTGGCAACCACATGCTCTGAAGTTTGTATGTACAAAACCGCACTTTTATTTCAACGGAGACCGGGCTGGTTGTAGACTTGTAGTGACCGTCTGTTAAGATCCCTAGCTTGATGCTTAAACCTCATGATTATAAACGATTTAAAAGCATAGAAAAACGGCCTAAGAAGTCACCACTTCTCAACTCCTAAGAATGAAAAAGTTTCGGAGTCCAGCTCCATTGTCAGTTCAATATCTGGGAGACGAGCAGATTCAAAACAAATTTTCACACAGATGATAAAAACCTAATTGACAGAAAATCCGAATGCACATGAAGCGACTGATTTAACTATTTACAAATTCAGAAGTGAATGACTAACATATTGGAGGGAGCACAAAGTTAACTCACCGAAACATTTCGCCACAACGACGCTTCTGAACAGCAACTGACAAACTAAATTCAAGTAAACTTCTAAACTACTAAACTTCGGATGGACGACTGAAGGTCTGAATTAACTAAAGGACTACGTGAAGCGTACATGTGGAATTGCGATTACAATCGTTATATACATGAAAATATATTATTAAGCTCCGGTAACTTTTTGGAGTACCCAAGATTTTTTTCATTTAGAACCTAGGCGTATATAGTAATATTATGTAGCTGCCAAACATGATCAGGAAGTTGATTAAAAAATGCTAGATTAATGTTTACTCGAATTAGCAGCAGAAAAATAAATTTAACTGACGTGCTGGGAGCTTGACTATCAAAATATTGAAAAAACTGCAAAATGTGGCTTAATAATTCAAATCATATTTTCCGGAGCTGCCAGCATGAATATCAACGAATTCGTGGCATACATTTGGGTGAACTATATGAGGGAACCATGACGGGCATAGCAATAATGAAAAGTACATACTATCCAGAATTTTATGGGATCTATTAGGTGTGTTCGTGGTGTAATTATAATGATGATTTCTGAAGGATTCCAGTTAATTGAGAAAAAATATATGCTAGTCAGCTTATGAAAATGATGGATCCTGTTCGAAAAAATGTGTAGGTCTACTGTGAGATTTTAATCCTTAATTACGCGCAAAATCCCTTCAACTTAGTACACGATGCAAAATGATGCGAGATTAAATCCGGTGTGGTTGAAGTGATCAATGTCGAGCACTAGGACTTAGCAACAAAACTCATGGGATTAATAAAGATATGGAGGCCCCCAAGTGGTCAATTTAGGAAAATAATAAAACAATATGATTAATTTTTCACTGTATATTGGCGTAGAGCCGCTTTCTCCTAACATAAATCCCCAACTTTTGTTTAAGATGGCTAGTTTGTTTGTAACATTGTCTTCATTTTTGGTCATCAAAAATGTAAATCATTGTTCAATTTTGGAGGATTGGAGTACATACAAATATCATATGACGGTTTGATGAGGATGATTTAATCTGGGTAGAAAAGTTTAATGACCCCGGATTATATTGATGATGATGTCGTAAGCTGACTGCTAAGCTCCGAAACGCTCTTCGAAGACCTACAATTTATCGAACATATATGATCCTATCTAATTCGCCAATATCCGAGGCCTATTTCTTTCTTGCACCTTATTTCGATGGCGCAATCACTTTATGGCCGTAATTCCCAACCTGTTAGTGATTGAATTCGACTTGGAGATCTCGTGAAGTCGCCGCATATACGCTCAGGTTCTACTGAGTACCAATAATACTTCATATCAACCGCTAATATGTAGTGTCAGCTGCATTTAGTTTTTGTTAAAAAATTCCCGAACGGAGTAGGCGTATCGTTCGAATTTAAAGGTGGGCCACCGGCGAGCGGTGGATGCATGAGTGTCTGGTAACGGTTATTAATCATAAGTACTTTCATGAAATCATAAAATACCAATGACTTAAAATAATTCATGAACTCTGTAGGTGTTGGCGTACCAACAAGTAAACCCTTGCATAATACTAGCGGCCAGCCTACCGCTGGTTCGAAACCGCTGACTACGTAAATGGAATACGATAATTGATCGGCTAAACTCGACTACTGTTGAGATGGTCCTGGCATCTCTGAAAATTAATTTGTTATGATATTTTTTTCTATCCTTAAAATATTGGGACTCACTGGTCACCTTATACGCGTTCATCGCTTGTCAACTGTAGGATAACTGAAATAATAGTATCCAGGTTATTGTACTACCAATCCAGTCAAGCAACAGACTTGACTTACTTGCTTATTTTTAAATTTAGCAAAACTATAGCAGGACGATAATTTAGTTCATTGCTGAAGGTGATAATTAGCATTTAGAGCAATGATATTATTCATCGATCTTTTGAAAGATGATCAAATCTACGCAGAAGTGATAAGCCATTAAAGACATCGCAAAATCATCCTAAGTCGTACGCAAGAAAATTTTCAGCGAACAGAATACATCATTGAATGAACGATTGACAATCTCTTATATCAGAATCTTCCTTCTGCAAAGCATACATAATTTATTGCTTACAAAGCCTGAGCTGTATAGCGTCTCCAGGAAGTATCGAGCGAGTTTGGATAAAAAACGAAAGGGATTATTTACATGTATATATAAGTGATAGGCATTAAGATCATGAGATTGCAGCCATTTAAAGTACCTAAAGATTTTACTGCCAAAATTTTTTTTATTTTTCTTAAACAACTTTTCGAACTCTTATCCAGCAATCGTAAAATTACGTAGGAATGTTTGTGGATGTAAATCTTTTTTGTGTACGCACTAGCATAGGCAATCCAAAAATATGCAAGGACGTGCGATATTAAAATATCATTCAAATGTCTGATAACGCACGTATGTCGGAGGGGATGCATGCCAGGGGCCAGCATTGCCCAATGCCAGCATATCGTTCATACTCCTTTCCGTGCGCAAGCCTGCTTCAGGGCAGAGTAGACTAAGTGATTATTTGCTATTAAGGCCATAGGTACAAATTCCCTTCATGGTCATGGAAATGAACAAGCGAGCTAATGAGAAGCAAGCCACCAATACAATCGCTCTAAGCCGTACTTAGAACCGCCCAACAGTTCTATCCCATGCCGCCTTGCATGCAGAGGAAAGCTGAATTAGTCCAATAATGGTGTAAACAAAGAGTTGCAATAGAAGTTAAGGTTTATTGGGGGTTTTAAAATACAACTGACATTAGTACAACTGACATAAGTACTTATATCATTAGTCTGCTTATATCGCAAGTTCACAAGGAATTTAAAAGCAAAGAAAACGCCAAGAAAATTCACCATATCGATATTGAAATCGTTTCGGAGTCCAGCTCCATCATCAGTTCGACTAAACTAAAAATGAATAAAATCACTTTAAAAGTCAAAATTCAAAGACAGACATAAAACCTAAACAAGACCTAACATTATATCGAAATAAACAGGACTAGTTATGAACAACTTAGTCCTAGGGGTACGATTTACCTAGCGATTTACTATTTCCAGATTATATGAGCTAAACGCATTATTGAGACATGGTTTTCGTTTGAAGATATGTAGAGACTCCAAAATTCTCAAATCCGAGCAGCCAGAAGTGGAGCCGAGTATCCTGAAATCACTCTCAGATACAGCCACGTCGCACTGTTCAGCATGGAGGCGCACGGAAGAATGAGGAGGCTTGGCGAGAGGCAAGTTAGAACGATACGAGTATCCTGAAATCACTCTCAGATACAGCCACGTCGCACTGTTCAGCATGGAGGCGCACATTATTCGTCGCCTCACATCCATAACTCCCTATATTCGTCACCTCACATTCATAACTCCCTATATTCGTCACCTCACATTCATGACTCCCTATATTCATCACCTCACATTCATAACTCCCTATATTCGTCACCCCACACCCCTAACTCCCCATGATGCATAACTCCCCCCTCCCCCTCAGGGCCTTGCGACCCCGAGAAGTTCCGGTGCGACAACGCGGCGTGCCTGCCGATCTCGTACGTCTGCGACGGCGACAACGACTGCGGCGACGCCAGTGACGAACGCAATTGTAATTATAATTTAATGTTACGTCTGGAATTTTATATTATTTCAAATGATTTATTCATCATCGACCTGTATTTGTTGTCATGAACTTGCTTTCTTTCTATATTATCGTTGTTATCTTCATTTTGCTAAGATATTATATATGTTATGTTGCTATGTATACTGCCTGATGTTGTAATTTATATGCCGCGCGTTTTCACCAACGATGAGATTGCTCTTTAGGTCAAAGTATTATTTTTGACAACTTTCGACATGTTTGAAAAATCCTATCTCGTTGAGGTGCCATTGATGTTGTTATCTCATATTTTATCTCATTTTACTCAGAAATATACGTAACTTCGAAGATAATTTATACAGAAATATGGAGAAAGCTCATTTGTAAACGTTGCTGTATCCGAAAATAGTTACGAATGTATTCCGGATACGTACGTAAAAACTAAGTTGAAGTAACCAACAATAATAACAATGAAGATGAATGATGACATTCAAGTTCCAACACGCAGGCACGTGTGGCGATGACTTTACGTGCGGCAACGGCCACTGCGTGCCACGGCTGAGTGTGTGTGACTCAGAGAACGACTGTGGCGACTACAGCGACGAGCTCAACTGCACCGCAGGCGAGTTTATTTCGAAATGCTAAGCATCTTAGATAATTGGGAACTGCAACGAAATAATTAAAAACTAATTGACAGTTTATTTAATTTAGTACTGCATAGTAGGCAAAATTATTCTGAACTGCAACGCAGTCGAAATAATCCATAATTGCTTCACAGCTTGGTTGCTGGAACGCAGTCGAGATAATTAAAAATGAAATAAATAAATAAACTTTTAAAAACCACGAAATTCTTAACGGACAAAAAAGAAAAACCTTAACTCTTACATAACATTACATAACATTCTACATAACTTTAATGTTATGTAAGAGTTAATGCTTTTTCTTTTTTGTCCCTTAAGAAAACGTGGTTTTTAAAAGTTTTTTATTTATTTTATTTTCTACCTTTTAGTTTAGCAATTTTAGCAATTCAAATCATTTTCCAGGGTTGGCAATTTTGGATGTTCGACAAAAATACTCGACTGCCAACCGTGAATTTTTAATTTTTTTTAGCTAAAAAAATTTTTTATTAAAAAAATTCCGAATTTTTTAGTAAAAAAATTTTGTACGAAAATTTTTTTTTACAAAATTATTACTTCTGATGATCAAATCTTGAATTGTTAGGCAACATAAGCATGCATGCCAAATTTCAAGTTCCTAGGATCTTCAGAAGTGCTCTAAATTAGGTTTTGAATTTTTGATGACAGACAGAGACGAAGCGAAACTAAGAAAAACGTGGTAACTAATTGTTTGGCAGATTTCTAAATCTCGATGAGCCTCGTGACTTTCTTCTACTCTACGAAAGGCTGGGCCTTATAATGGAGATATCGAATCCTTTTCAAGATTGATGGCTTAAATCTACAATTTTTTTAGTTCATTAAATTGACTAATGCACAAAAAGATGCCCGCCACCTCTCGAACATTTTTGGGATGAATTTTCATAGAACGTTCCATTCATAACATTGTCAAATAAGGGACGATTATAATTACGAAAGAAGCTGTTTATTTAAAATACGCTCCTAAAATCTTTTCAGAATTTTTGTCTGCTTCGATTTTAATTTGAAAACTTATTCGTGGTTTAAAACGTGCTGAAAAATTCTGTCATTTACACCTAACACAACAGATGCTTAATGTGGCGCTACGATGAATTGAAATTTATTGCAATAACGCGAGCGGAAGAGTGAACCGAACAACGAAACCGAATTACCATATCTGCGAAGAGACGCTGCTTCTCTGTGCACATCGTTTAAGTTTACATTAAAGAATCGTATTGATGTTCGGTGTAGAAGTGACGGATTGGAATAAAAAAAAACAGAAATGCAGAGTATGAGGATTTCCTTTACTGGAATGCACATTTTTTCTGTATGATAAGTACAAATAAAGTGGCTGAATTAACGGCATCATATATCCTCTTAACAGCGGCCTGCACGACGGGTTTTCTCTGCAGCAACGGCAAGTGCTTGCCTTTATCCGTCCGCTGTGATGGCGACAACGATTGCGGCGACATGAGTGATGAGCGCAACTGTACGCACGGTAAGCGCCTTTATAATCTTTCAGGGTGAGCGCACCTGTAAATTTATCGAGCACCAAATTTTAATGCCAGCATTTTTGTTTTGCAGCTGGCACGGACTGTCGGATCACGCAATTCTTGTGTGATAACGGAAACTGCGTCGCGTCCGGTAACAAGTGTGACGGAGACGACGACTGTGGAGACAACAGCGACGAGAGAAACTGTGCGTAAAATGTTTCAAAATTCAATGATCTTATATGCATATATATTAAGCTAAAGAGATGCACGAAAAAATATAAAATTTCAGGAACCGAAATACAAATTCTTTTTCCTAAATGTATGCAACAAAAAAAAAAAAAAAAAAAACAAGAATGTTGTTGAGCATGAAAGCGTATTAGCAATAAATAAAATATAGGCATTGTATTATACAGAGGACCAGTATGGTTTCATGATAAATTTTTATGATAAAGTTTTTTGGCTGTCTTTGAGGAAACAATGGACAGTATTAATCAAAGAAAATTGAATTTGAGAAGTAGCTAACTAGAACCGATTATGTGAGATTTTTACAGCCTTCTTCATCAATATTTCGGATTTTGAAAATCGCTGCACAAAAAGGAACCTATAAAAAGTCGACGGTATTTCTCGCCTTATAGTATGCAAAATGGTCGCTAACCAAAAGGTTAAGTTTCACCGAACCTTCCGTTTCGTGTTGAAAAAAAATTCGATGCGACTCACGCTTCCTATATTGCCGATTGATGATTTGTCATCAATAAAATATCAAATAAATACTAATACAAGACGCCATTTCAGTGATGACGCTGTGCATCGTTGACATGCTGCTACCATTGATGCACAGATAAAATAATCATTATTTCAGGCACGTGCGATTCATCGCAGTTTCAATGCAACAACAAACGCTGCATCCGTGCGAGTTATAAGTGTGATGGCGACAACGATTGCGGTGACATGAGTGATGAGCGCAACTGTACGCACGGTGAGCGCATTTATAATCTTTCAGGGTAAGCGCACCTGTATCAAAACCTAGGGGAACCATATTTTATTGAGAATTAGTTGCTAGAAAAAAAGGCTCCCAGTAGAAATACGTGCAATAAAATATGGTTCCCCTAGGTTCCCCTGGAAATAACTGTTAGAAATAAGGTTCCCCTTATAATATTTTCACAGGGAACCTTATTTCCAACAGTTATTCCCAGGAGAACCTAGGGGAATAATATTTTATTGCACGTATTTCTACTGGGAGCCTTTTTTCTATCAACTAATTCTCAATAAAATGTGGTTCCTCTAGGTTCCCCTCGAAATAACTGTTAGAAACAACGTTCCCAGTGAAAATATTATAAGTGGAAGCTTATTTCTTATAATAAGGGGAACCTCAGTGTACTGAAACGTTTTTAGTTTGAGTCACGTTTAATAGAGTACACGTATCTATTAAGGGCGCGCCTGTGTTAAGAGGGAATAACTGATATGTGAACGCAAGTTCCCATAGAGTGGGTGACTGATATAATTTGTCTACTAAACTATAGGTAAAGTGTGTGACTGATAATATGTGAGCGCAACTGTACCTGGGTTGCAGAATAACTGCAGTCGTCATTTACCCTACCGTGCAAATGATTTGTTTTAAAATGCCTGAACAAATTTTAGAATACATTTTGTGCAATTATTATGCAATTTGGTTATTTCTTAAATCATGCCTCGCTGCTTCAGCACAAAACAAATTTATATGATCGTATTTTATTTTAATGCCAACTTTCAACGAAAATTCTCCTAAGAATAGGTTTTTTTACTTAATTTTTGTCGGCCAAAAATTGTTACACAAAAAATCTTAATTTATCGAGCACCAAATTTTAATGCCAGCATTTTTGTTTTGCAGCTGGCACCGACTGTTGGATCACGCAATTCTTGTGTGATAACGGAAACTGCATCGCGTCCGGTAACAAGTGTGACGGAGACAACGACTGTGGAGACAACAGCGACGAGAGAAATTGTGCGTAAAATGTTTCAAAATTCAATGATCTTATATGTATATATATTAAGTTAAAGAGATGCACGAAAAGTTTAAGTTTCGCCGAACCTTTCGTTTCGTGTTGAAAAGAAAATCGACGTGACTCACGCTTCCTATATATTGTCGATTGATGATTTGTTATCAATAAAATATCAAATTATAATGCTAATTTAATGTGCCATTTCAGTGATGCCGCTGTGCATCGTTGACATGCTGCTACCATTGATGCACAGATAAAATAATTAATATTTCAGGCACGTGCAATGCATTGCAGTTTCAATGCAACAACAAACGCTGCATCCCCGCGAGTTATGAGTGTGATGGCGACAACGATTGCGGTGACATGAGTGATGAGCGCAACTGTACGCACGGTAAGCGCAATTATCATTCAGGGTGAGCGCACCTGCATTAAATTTGATGATGAGTGTACTGAAACATTTTAAGTTTTAGTAACGTTTCATTGGGTAAACGTATCTAATCAGGGCGTACCTGTGCGTAGAGTGAATGACTGATGAAAAATGGTGACAAGAATTGTATAATAATATTAAAGGTTTATTTTTGTTTATAAAAAGGCCTATTACTTTCATTGTTTTAGTCCTGTATCGGTTTCACGGTCCTTCAATTTCAAATAATGTAAGTTGAATTGTATTATGTAGTTGGTAAACGCATTTTGTTCTAAAATGTTAACCTTATTTTACAAAGGTTTTTGAACTGAAAACCGTCAATAAAATATCAAATAAATACTAAGACTGCACAGAAAAAGAATTTGACTGTGGCAGATATCGCTGCATACCGCTGACTCAGCGTTGCGACGGCGACCGTGACTGTCCGAACGGGAACGACGAGACCAACTGTACACAAGGTGAGATTCAACGTTCTGTGATGCAGACAATAATGAACAGTAAATGAACACGATGAGACACGATGAAACCAACTGTACACAAGATGAGATACAACTTTCTATGATGCAGACAATAATGAACAGTATATGAACACGATTAAACCAACTGTGTACAAGGTGAACCTGAACGTTCTATGATGCAGACAATAATGATAAATGAACACGAAACAGAACGATGAGACCAACTGTACACAAGGTGAGATTTGACCTTCAGCATGCAGACAATAATGAACACGAACAGACCTAATGAAACCAACTGCACACAAGGTGAAGCTTAACTTTCCATGATGCAGACAAAAATGAACAGTAAATAAACAAGAACATGAACGATGAGACCAACTGTACACGAGGTGAGATGTAACGTTAAATGATGACTATATAATGACAATAATGAATAGCATGTAAGACAATAATGAATAGTATGTGAGTTATATACGCTTGACGTTTAAGTTGGTTGTGAGGCAACAGTTTGTGGGGTAAGTGCCAGTCATTACCCACACAGTAAAACAAGAATGGAAATGAAAGAGACTGGAACTGAGATTTTACTGCAAGGCAAATTAACAA